ACACAGATTTTGTATTGGATATAGGGAGCTGCTGAAAAAAGTACCTGAAAATGTGGAAATGGCTTTGAAATTGGGCAATGGACAGAGGCTGGGAGAATTTCGAGGAGCAAGGCAGGAAAAGCCCAGGGTGCCTTGAACAGACTGTTAGAAGAAATACGGATGTTAATGACTCTGCTAGTGAGGACTCAGAAGGAAGTGAAGAGCCTGGTAGAGAAAACATATATCATTTTGGAGAATACCTAAATCATCATGAACAGATTGTTGGTAGAAATGTGGAATGTTAAAGGAGCTGCTGGTAAAGGCTCAGAATGGAAATGAGGAATATATTCTTGGAAACTTGAGGAAAGGGCATCCTTGTTCTACAATAGCAGGAAGCTTAGTGGAATTGTGTCCTGTAGTTAAGTGGAAAAGTGGAACCTATAAACAATAAATCGGACATTTAGCTGAGGAGATTTCCAAGTGTTGAAGGTGCAGTCTGATGTCTTCTTGCTGTTTACAATAAAGCGCCAGAGGAAAGAGATGGATTGAGGCAAGAACTGTTAAAGAAAAAGGAAATATGACTTGGTGTAAGAAATTCTCAACCTAACCAGATTTCAAAAGATGCTAAACTTAAGAGATTCACTGTCAGGATACCAAAAGCTAAGGATGTGGCTGTAAAACCTTTTCCTAATATCACAGAAAGATCAAAAGATCACAGTATTCAGTCACAAAAATGCCTCTTTAAAGAGATTAAGTGTGTGACTCATAGATCCCCTCAGTTACCTCAGTAGAAGCTAGAAATAGGGATGTGACTGTCTTGGGGGAGCCTCTCGTCTAATGGAGGGACTTCCTATAACATCCCCAGGAGACCCACAAGGTTTTTGAGAATTTTATATCAGCAGAAACATTGCCAACTGGGACCAAAAAGGACAGGTAAAATATGAAATCAAAGAAGGCTGTCTGATACTCAAAACTCTATAGGCAGGAAACAGGCTGATAAAACTACTCAGCTACAAACATGTTCCACCTTTCGTAAGAAAGAGAGGATGGCCCAGAGAGTGGAGCAGAGAGCCAGAGGGTGGGGGGAGTTATTCTCAGGCCTTAAAACCTGATGGAGTTTGTTCAGCTGGATTTTGAAATTTTTTGGGAACAGTGACTCCTTTTTTCCTTCCATTATCTCCCTTTTTGAATGAAAATGTCCGTAACCATAACCATTATCCTCTCCTTGTCCCACCATTGTAGTTTGAGAACAGGTAATTTGAGTTTTCAGTTTCACACGTAAACAGATGGAGAGGAATTGTGTCCCACTCATACCTAATTTAGATAATGCAATTTGGGACTTTTGACCTGCTGAGATTTAGATGAAATTTTTTACTTTGACTTAATATTGTAATGGGATGAGACCTTTGGGGACCTTGGGATAGGGTGAATGTATTTTGCGTGTGGGATGGATGTGTATCTTTGAGGGCCACAGGGTGGATTATGGTAGACAGGATAATGATCCCCCAAAGATGTTCACATCCTAATCCCCATTATCCATGAACGTATTATTTAAAATAATGTGTTAGTTTCCTATTGCTGCTGTAACAAATTACCACAAACTTAGTGGCTTAAAACAATACAAATTTGTTACCTTACAGTTATGAAGTTCAGAAATCTGAAATGAGTTTTAGTGGGCTAAAGTTAAGGTGTTTTTAGGGCTGTTGATTCTGTAGGCTCTACGGGAGACCGTTTCTCTGCCTTTTCCCACTTCTAGAGGCCACCTGCATTCCTTGGCTTGTGACCCCCTCTCTTCAAAGCCAGCAGTTTAGCATATTGAAATCTCTCTCTCTGACTGTTACTGAGTCCCCGGCCTTCCTCTTTCACTTATAACATCCTTATGATCACATTGGGCCCATCTAGATAATCCAGGATAGTATCCTCACCTCGAGATCCTTAACTTAGTAATATCTCCTAAATTTTTTTGCCATGTGAGGTCATAAATCCACAAGTCCTGAGGAGGAGGATGTGGACATCTTGGGGGATGATTATTCTGCTTATCACTTCTAGTTTGTCTAACTTTTAAGTTTATTACCATAAATTTGCTAATAATATATTATTATCTTTTTTCCACTCTCTCTTGAACCCATTCCAATTAGGTTTTTCTCCCAATATTCCACTGGGACCATTTTTGTCAAAGCCACCAGTGACCTCCAGGTAGCCAAATTCGATGGGAGTTTCTCAGTCTGAATCTAACTCACACTTGTTACTGGCTTTTGACCCAGTGGAGTCCTCCCTTCTTCCTGAAACAATCTCTTTGCTTGGCTCTTCAGATCTCTTCTCTATCTACACTCTCTCTCTAGGTGATTTCATCCAATTTCATGGCTGTAAACACCATCTACACACTGACAATTCTCAAATTATATGTTCAGCCAGGACCTCAAGCCTGAATTCCAGACTTGTTTATTAAAGCCCATTCAATATCATCACTTGGATAGCTAATAAGCATAATAGACCTAAAAATTGATTTTCAACCCAAACCTGCATCTCCTCCCCATATTCTCCATCTCAGTAAATGGTTCCATCATTCACGCAGCTACCCAGGCCAAAAAACATTGGAATCATCCTTGATTCCTCCTTTTTTCCTGTACTTCACATCCAGTCTATCATAAAATAAGTATTTCAAAATATATCCTATATCTGACTACTTATTTTTGTAAAAATATTTCTTTTTTTTTTCTGAAGACTGGCACCTGAGCTAACAACTGTTGCCAATCTTTTTTTTTTTCCACTTTTTCTGCCCAAAGCCCCGCGGGTTCATAGTTATACATTTTAGTTGTGGGTCCTTCTAGTTGTGGCATGTGGGACACCACCTCAGTGTGGCCTGATGAGCGGTGCCATGTCTGTGCCCAGGATCCGAACCAGCGAAACCCTTGGCCACCGAAGCAGAGCATGTGAACTTCACCACTCCGCCGCAGGGCCGGCCCCTTACCACTTCATATTACCATCACCACTACTAATCTTATCCAAGCCATAAACTTATCTCATTTAGGTTATTGCAGAAGCTAATTGGTCCCCCTTCTTAAATACTTGCTACCTCCTTTCCTCCCTTAAGTGTATTTTCCAGATACCAGAGTGATCTTTTGATTTATTTATTTATTTTTTTGTGAGGAAGATTTGGCCCTGAGCCAACATCTGTTGCCAGTCTTCTTTTTGCCTGAGGAAGATTGTCGCTGAGCTAACATCTGTGCTAATCTTCCTCTATTTTATGTGGGACGCCACCACAGTGTGGCTTGACGAGCAGTGCTAGGTCTGCGCCTGGGATTCCAAACCTGTAAACCCCAGGCTGCCAAAGCCAAGTGTGGGAACTTAACCACTACGCCACTGGACTGGCCTCCAGAGTGATCCTTTTAAAAGGATCCTATCCCTCCCTTACTCTAAACCCTGCAAAGGATCCATTCATATTACTCTAGATTGAAATCCAAAATCCTTCCAATGGCCTACAAGCCCTATATGATCCTGCTTGTGGCTACCATTCCAACCTCATTTCCCACTAATTTTGCCTTGTTTGCTGCTCACTAGCCACACTGGCCTTTCTGTTCTTAAACATGTTAAGCATGCTCCCGTATAAGGTCCTTTGTACAGTTCCCTCTATGTAGAATGCTATTCTCCCACTACCGCCAAGTTTAGCTCCCTTACTTCACTCAGATCTTTGCTGAAATGTCACCTCAGAGACCCTCTCTGACCACTCTACCTTTCTATCTAAATCAGTACTCCCCTCACTCTCTGTCCCTTTACCAGCTCTGCTTTTCATTCAGTATACTTATAACTATCTGATGGCATAGTCTTACATTTTAAAATCTGTCTTTCACTAAAATTTAAATTTCATGGTGGCAAACAATTTGTTTTGTCTTTTATTGTATTCCTAACATATAGAGCAGAACCTAGCACATAGTATGGCTTCATAAATTGAACAATTGAATATTTTTTCCTTTATTTGTTATATTGATCTGTCATTATGTATCCTATTTTAATTCCTCAGGGCAAAGAAATGAATGACAATCTCCCCTTTCCAGGAGCTCTTGATCTAGAAGAAGAGACATATATACACCCACAAATAATTATGGTTCAGGCTATAGAGGATATAATTTACATAGCAGAGGTAGTAGAGAAGATTAATAGGAAAAATTAGACAAAGTTCAACCTGAGCAGAATTTAAAAAAATGAATACAAGTTTATCAGGCAGGTGTAAGTGGAGTGAGAGAGAAGGCATTCCAAACCAAGGGTATAGTGTACGTACAGGCAGAGAGGCATGAAATAGAAGGTTGTATTTGGGGAACTCTAAGGCGTTTGGTACATTGGAAGGAGTGGCATGGTGGGAAAGGTGGTAAAGATGAAGCTAGGTAGGCAGGGAGGACTCACAATAGGAAGAGCCTTATATGCCATGATAAAGAATGCAAATTTTCTCCAGCAGCAGAAGGGGAAGCTCTGGAAACTTTTTTTTTTTTAAAGATTTTATTTTTCCTTTTTGTCCCCAAAGCCCCCAGGTACATAGTTGTGTATTTTTAGTTGTGTGCCGTTCTAGTTGTGGAATGTGGGGTGCTGCCTCAGCATGGCCTGATGAGTGGTGCCATGTCCGTGCCCGGGATTCGAACTGGTGAGACCCTGGGCCCCTGAAGCGGAGCCTGCGAACTTGACCACTTGGCCACGGGGCTGGCCCCACAGTGTAAGTTTTAAGATGGGATTGATATGATAGATTTTCACTCTGGCCATTTCACTCGCACTTTAGAAATGCCATTCTAGCAGCTTTATTGGTGCCAGAGGTAAGAAATTCAGCTTGAAATAGACCAGATGAGATGTGAGGAGAGCCTGACGTAGAAATAATTGAGGGAAAATAAAAATATGTTTGAGACTATAGTAATTCTATGAAATTTTTTATTTTATGATCATGCAACTTTTGGCTTTGTTTCTAATATAAACCTGGTTTCCCCAGCAGACAATCCTAATGGGAAAAGAACATATTGATCAGGCAATTCAAGTAATCCAGTTGGGATTGCAGTTTATTTCTTATATTTACCATTTACCTCATGAGCTTTGCTAGTATAGTCAGTTCTTTAGAGACCAATTACCCGTGGATAAAGTGATAACTTTAATTTCTGAACATGCAAAATTGAGAACAAGACCTTTTGGTAACATCTCCAAAGTACAGAGGTCCTTCAAAGCCCTAAATAAACAGCTTTACTATATATATGGGATATTATTAGTCATAAACTTTTTACATCATTGTACAAAAATTTAATAGAATTTATTAGGAATTACATAAAAACAAAGCTTCACAACTATAGTTAATACATAATTTGAATAACAAAATATCCTCTGTTGTATTTTTAAATATAATGAATTTATTTCCAGTAGCATGCTCATTAAAAACAATAAAGTATTTCCATTCATTAAAAATGTATTTAACAATAAAATACATAATGAAGTAGAATTTGTAGCATAAACGTAAACTAGTCAATTTATCTCCATTACCCATATTATGATTTACCTTTATTTTGTGGTGACAGTGTTTTAAGTCATTAACAAATGCAGAACTGTATTATATATTTACACAAGATTCTCGAAGATAATGATTCCATTTCACAGTTGCTGTTGTGCTTAGTCAGTGTCGCCTCTGCAGTCTGGGTCCGACATCACGAGAGAGACTGGCCCTTGGCTGGCTGTTCTGTAACATAATTTCAGAATATTCTTTTACTGTAGTATTCATAGACTTTAACAGGTAAATGGCCTTACAGATTACAGATTTTAATAAGACTAAACTTATAATTCAAATTCTCAAATGCCACATATACATCAATCTCAACATAACAAGTACCACTTTATGTAAGGCATCCTAGTAATTATAATAATTCATAATCTTCGCTCTTTGCTATTGGTAAGATGTGATTCAGAGGTGCTTTTCATCATAATTTGCTCTGTAAATAGGCAAAATTTAATAATTTTATTTTCTACAGGAAGCACTTGGAGCCCATCTAACACCCTAGGAGCAGATTAACATATATTGGGCTAAAGAAATAAGTCGCTTGGGAGGATAATTGTTAAAAATTCATTAAATTTATTTTATTTTAAAACGTAAATATAATACTCCAAAGTGAAAATTCTGCTTCTAAGATTCAGTTTTTCCACTGAAAATCATGGCAGGTATCTTGAGGATGGTTTGCAGCAACCCCACTACACTATACTGTTTGCATGTTGTCTCTATTGGAATGCAAGCTACTTGAGGACAGGAAAATGTTTTCTCTTTCCAGTCCCAGCCCTAGCAGAGTGCCTGACACATGGTAAGAACTCAGGCAATCTCTGTTCAATGAATAAAAAGAGACCAATATGATAACTTTTACAAAAGAAAAAATTAGGCTGCTTTGGTTGCCAAAAGAAGGAAATTCTAAATTTTAGACAGGACAAAGCTTGAACTGAATAAGCCTTCCTAGCGGGGATGACACTGAAGTCAAGTATTAAAGAGTAAGTGGGAGAGAGGCATTTGGAGAGCAAGTCCTTGAGGCAGTAGGAGTAATATGGGCCCTGGAAGAATGCAAGGAGTTCCAGAGAGACCTGCTTGTTACTCAGCAGTGTAAGTTATGAGCGGGGGAGCAACTGGAGGTGAAGGTGGAAAGGTGTTGAATGCCGTTCTCTGGAGTTGCAATTTTATCTTTTTGGTGATGGGTAACTACTGAGGTTGGGTTTTAAGCAGGAGAGTGATATGTTCATATTCGTGTTTTATAAATATTACCCTGGTGGTGATGATATGGAGAGAGCAAACCTGGAGGCTGTTGAAATGGTTCAGATGAGACACAATGAATTCCTGAACTAAGACACTGTCAGCAGGAATGGAGAGGAGTGGATGGATATGAGATGCATTTAGTAAGTATAACTGGGAGGATTTATTGACTAGGGGTGTGGGGGAATGAGAAGGCGGATGAGACACAAATTTCTGTCTGGGAGATTTGGTGGATGATTGTGTCATTAATTGAAATAAGTACTATAAAATATAGAACAGATTTTGGGGAGAAAAGGGGAAAATATAAATCTTGGATCTGCCACTGAACAGTTCTAAGGCTTGAGCAAATTATTTGACATCCCTAACTTAGAAGATTAAACAAGAGAACATGTGTGAAACCATTTGGCACAGTACTTTTTGATGATAGAAGCCCAGTAAATGTGTTTCCTTTCTTCTCTCTAATTACATCTCAACAATGTTCAGTTGCCACTAAAGAGTACTAATTGATTCAATGTTAACACTCATTAAAGGGCTTTGGAAGAACTCCAGAAACAGAGGTATTTTGATGGAGTATAAAGTCTTGCTTCAGAATATTAAAAAAAACTTTCAGGATTGAGCAAATCACTGCATTTTATTGCAGTCTGAAAAGGAGAAACAATTTATATATTCAAAGACCACGTATAAAAAAATCATAAAGACTCAACCGATATTTTAAAATATTTAGTATGTACTAGCTTCTATGTATTAGACAAATATAAGTGAAAAATAACCTCAAGAATATAGTTCCAAAGAAGATTATTAATGTACAAAGACAACTAACAAAAATGCCTATGGGGTACAAGCACAAAACTAAAGATACCACAGTGACCCTTCCGAGGAAGGTTGGATTGGTTACGGAAGGCTTCATGGTGGAAATGACATTAAGTTGGTGCTCAGATGAGCTGGATTTGGAAAGTAGAGCAAAGGTACAGTGCAGTTGGGAACTGGGCATGAACATAAACAAAGCATGAGAAAAACATGGAGGCAGAAACAGAGTATTGCAAACGATGGACAATATATTAAGCGTGTTTGGCTGGAACGGAAGATTCACACTGTAAGAGGAAAGGCAAGTGGGACTACAAATTGTTGTTAGAATAATTCCTACCTTTTAGAAGGGAAAGTTACGCTTTGCATATAAATCCCACTTAAGTACTTTCAGGAATGTTACATTTTTTTGAGATAATTTAAACAGCTAAGATGACCGCAACAGTGGCAATAAAAATAATGCAACCTAACACATATTTAGCATGTACTATGTTACAGGCACTGTGGTAAGTGTTTTACATGGGTGATTATCTCACACAATCTTCATAGTGTATCTTCACACGCCATCTGTGGGTTAGATACTATTATTATTAAGATGATCAGGAGTGTTCGTCGAAGGGACACAGGAAAGGGTGGGGTGAATTTCTTTCTTCTGAAGTCTCAGAACAGCACTTGCTCTAAGCAATGGTAGCTGATTGCCTGCGCTATGAGAGATACTGAGAAGGCTTTCCTGCTCCAAATTATTCCTCTCATTCAAGTGTTACAGTGTTTGAAATCCCCTTATTAGAAATTCACTATTTTCTCTCCAGATACTGTTTTTTAAACGATTTAAATGGCTTTAAGTCCTTTAAAATGATTTTTAAAAATGACAAATCATCTTTTAAAATTCATGCTAAACACCTTAGCATGAATAAACGTATTAGTTCCTTGCCTGAGAGAAACCCAAATCAATACCACCAAGCACTGTGGGGGAAAAGAAACCCAAAGGACAATAGAATGGGGGAAATAAGCGAAAAGCAACAACAAGAAAAACATGCATGTGTGGGGTGGGTGGTAGTGAATTAATATATAAACTTCACCCAGTTGGTGACTTTTCCAAAGAGATATATAATTTGTGGTAATTAAACATCAATTCTCAAACCTTAAGCCAATGGCATTTGAGTTTTCAGTATTGGGGTACCTGGTAGATTTATTATATAATTGACGTTGCTAGGCTGAGAAATTAATTCCTGAATTAACTATATAATACATGTAAATTATAAAGCTAGACATATATTATTTGACACGTTATAATTAAAAAATTCTTGTACGTTCATATGGGTATGAAAACATTGGATCTGAAATGTAAGATGAAATAAAAACATTAATAAAAAAAGCTTACCTGCAACATCTCTAAAACAACAAACACTCCCAAATAGGTAGTTTCATCATTGTTTGGAGATGGAAAGAGATGGAAATCTCCTTTTAGAAAAACTCCTATTGACTAGAACTAGGGCATACCACAACTGTCCTGGTGTATACAATATAGTTTTGGTGGTCTCTTCTGTCATGTATACAGAAAGTGTAGGAATATGGTTATATATTGCCTTTCTAGAAGTTACATATTAAATGATTTTACTTATTTGAAATGCAATGGAGATCTAGAAACAAATTTTGAAAGCTTTTAAAAGATTAAAATATATCTAAAGTCCATATACTTTATTTCCAGGGGAGGCACTAAGTGCCTATCTATTCTTTTTTGTCTGTGTGTGAGGAAGATTGGCTCGCAGCTAACATGTGTTGCCAATCCTCTTCTTTTTGCTTGAGGAAGATTGTTGCTGAGCTAAAATCAGTGCCAATCTTTTTCTATTTTATGCAGGATGCCCCACAGCATGGCTTGAGCAGCAGTGCTAGGTCTGCGGCCAGGATCCAAACCTGCAAACCCCGGGCTGCTGAAGCAGAGTGCACAAACTTAACCACTACACCACTAGGCCGGACTCAGTACCTATCTATTCTTGCTTTAAACATAACTTTAACAGGTTGGACATCTGTTTTCTGGAGTCAAAATAAATTGTAGGCAGCTAAATAGAAGACTTGAAGGCAAGATATAGGTAGAAATAAACCCAGGTGATAAAAAGAAAACAAACAGGCCATAAAAACATAAACTTTGAAACTTGTCACCCACCATAAATGTTAACCTGAATCCAATGAGAAAACAATTGGACAAATCCAGATCATGGGATATTCAGCAAGAAAACTGGCCTGGAATCTTCAAAACTATCAATGTGCATGAAAGATTGAAAAAGAGTGGAGACTTTTCTAGATTAAAAGACTTGACAACAATATTCAATGTGTAATCCTGGGTTGGATCCTGGATCAGAGAAACAAAATAGTTTTTTCAGACAGCTTAGGGATTTGGAATATGGAGTACATATCAGATAATATTTTACCAATATTCAATTTCTTGGAGGTGATGTTGGTATTGTGGTTATGTAGGAGAAGTTCTGTTCTTAGAAGAACATGTATACTGAAGTTTTTAGGGAGGAAGAATCACCATTAAAATGTATGTTTGTATATGTGTATGTATGTATCTTTATTGTATTGTATTTATTTTCTCTTCTCCTCCCCTCCTTCCCTTCTTTCTTGTTTCTTTCTTTCTTTCCTTCCTTCTTTCTTTCTCCCATCTGTCCATCTGTCCATGCATTTATCTATTCATCCATCCATCCATGCATCCATCCATCATATAAAGCAAGCATGGCAAAATGTTAACGACGGGTGAATCCAAGTGAAGGGTAAAATAGCATAAAATAAAGATAGCAGAAACAAGAGGAAACAGGAATAAAATGCTCAAATCCACATGCAGAGTATGGCAAATGAAACAGTTTTGATGGAGAAGGGAGATGGGTAATTTTGATGCCAGCTATTTAAACAGGCAGTAATTTTGTGGGTTTTCTTTTTTTTACCATTTTCCCTGAAAATAAATGGAAGGTTTCTGACCCATGTTAGTGATGTTAAAATAAGGAAGAGTAACATCTTTGGAGTTGAAAGACCTGAGGAAAACTAATGGTTACTAACTGTCATAAAGAATGAAAAAGATGTAAGATAAAAATGATTTTAAGCCTACCAATCGGCCCTAATCCACACCATTAACTTTTCAGTTACTAGTCAGATACTCTGGGAATATAATGACATGGCGCACCCATGTGATAACAGAGTAATTTGCTGATTAGTAACTTTTTCTCCTTAGTGAGTAGTATTTACAATTCTTGCTCAGTTAGTTGTGTTGTGGTTAGTACACTGTTTTCAGGTTGAGTTGAAGTGTACAGAAGAGTGATCTCAGTCACTAAAAGGTATTATATCGCTAAGGGGAAATAAGAATCATAAATGTCATAAATGACAGAAAATTGTCACAGTCAAAATTCAGAGAAAGAAAAATTAGCACTGCAAAAATTACTTAACTCGCTAAATCGGTGGAGATGAAAAATTGAGCAAGAAGCCAAACTAGCATGCAAAAAATAACCATGAAAACATGTATCAGGAGTCACAGTGACCATTGCCAAGAGTTGTGCTTAACAATCACAGCTTCAAAAATGCCACACCAGATGCTGGCCAGGTGTCGCAGCGGTTAAGTGTGCACGTCCTGCTTCGGCGGCCCTGGGTTTGCCGGTTCGGATCCCGGGTGCAGACATGGCACTGCTTACCAAGCCATGCTGTGGTATGTGTCCCACATATAAAGTAGAGGAAGATGGGCATGGATGTTAGCTCAGGGCCAGGCTTCCTCAGCAAAAAGAGGAGGATTGGCAGTAGTTAGCTCAGGGCTAATCTTCCTCAGAAAAAAAAAAAAAAAAAAAAAGCCACACCAAAAAGGTTGCTTCTAGGAACCATGTGCTCAGAGTAAACAACAAGCTTCATGAGGGCAGGGACAGCCTCTTTCTTACTAACGATTATTCATTACTGTACCCAGAGTATAGCAAAACTCTGAAACACGGGTAAGAAATGTATAACTTTATTTAGATAAAAGCAAACAAGAAATGAAGTGTATTTGCATAATATTGCTTTTTCCTGTCAAGATTTCAGAACTGAGGGCACTTGATGAGAAACAATTGAGCAAGCATCCAATTAATTCTCTAACAAAACATTTCTTTGTTGCACACCTCAATTGTGGATTGCGAGAGAACAGGTAGTGTCGTTGTTTGAGGGTGCCCTTTCTATGACCGGGATGTCTCCTGATCACCTCTAGCCAGATGTGATGTCTTCCTTCTGTGATTTCCTAAGACTGTGCCTCAGATCCTCTTATCTTACTTTGTATTTCAGTTATTTGTATATCCTATCCATGTGTATCTTTCTCCCTGTTAGACTGAAAATTCCTGAATGCAATGACTGTTTTTCATTTATATGTGTATCTTTACCAGAATCCAGTGCCAAGGCAAAAAAAAAAAAAATCAAAATAGTAATGTCTAGTTTTGAACTCTGAAAGGGATATGGGCAAGGATGGGATCATTAGCAATGTAAATTTCTTAACAATTATCCAGTTAGGCTACATATCTAAAATTATTTGAAGAGTAGTGCACTGATGGCTGCTTCTGTTCCCATGACTGATGAAATACTCTGGATGTAAAAATCTTCATATTGTGATTTTTTTAAATGAGAGGATATTTGTTTGATTCTAATAAAACATCTTATAGTTGAACATTTATTGGGGAGAAAAACTCTCTAAAAGTCAATCTCAAGAAAAATTAATATCAATACAGGATTCTTACACACAAAAATCATGAAGTTTCTTAAAATAAGAGAAAAAAATTCTTAAAATACTTACCGGAAGTGATATTATTTGTAAGGTATTTTTGATGCGTGGATTTTTGCAAATAGTTTCTTGTACATCTGAAATAATTATACCATGATACAAAATAATTTAGTTATGTATATTGAAAGAGACGAATGACTAAAGAATCACATATTAAATTCGGCTGTGTTAAAATATTCAAAGTTGAGTGCGAGACTTTTTTCTATTGTCCCCAGAAACAGTCTTTATGTAATTTGATTAAAAACAGTTACATAAAACTTATGTTGATAAAAAAGAATTCCTAGTACTTTGACTACTCTATAACAATCTTTGTTCAAATGCTAGGTTTTCTTTCTTTCCTTTTTTATTTTTCTTCTTTTTTTAAACCAAAAATGAATTTCACTGATGGAGCATCTCAAGAAGGACGAGGAGATGTTTATTTTCACTAAAGGCAGAAAAACGTTGAGTAATTTGGTCAACTTTTGCCTTTTCAATGTTTAGGTTTTTGTGAGTATAATAGCAAGGGTCTGGGCAAAATAAAACAAGATTCAGGCAGAACCTTTTACACGAAGCATTGATTGAAATATGTGGAAGTACCTAATAGAATAAAAAAGCCTTCCCCAAAAAGCTGCCTTGAAGTTTTTACTCTTTATCTCATAATTTTACATCTTAAACTTACAGCTTTAGTTCTATGCTACTTTTGTGGTTGTAGCACCTTGCCTTTTATTAATATATTATTTTAAAATTTAATTTTGAAATTAACATGAGAAATATATGCATATTTTAATTAATCATAATAAAGCTAATGTCTGTGTAATTGCCCAGATTAAGAAATTTGAACATTGTCACTACTTTAGAAGCTTCCTGGAGCTCCTCGCCTCCACATAGCCGGTGGATTCCACTCCTTTCCCTTGCCCACAGAGGTAACCCGCTATACTGACTTTGTTTATTTATAGTTTTAACATATATAAATACAACCCCCAAAAAATATTGTTTAGTTTTGCCTGTTTCTGAACTTCATATTCCCCTGCGATTTGCCATAATTTGCTCAAAATTATACATTATTTAGATTCATCCATGATGACGTGTATAGCTGTAGTTTGTCATTTTCCTTGCTGGATAGTATTCTAGCACATAAATATACCATGTATAGATGTTTTCAATTTTTGGCTTTTATAAACAAGGATGATCTCTATATACTTATACATGTCTCCTGATGCACATGTGCAGGGTTTTCTCTAGGGTATGCATGTAGAAGTGAAATTGTTGGGTTGTAGGGTATGTTCATGTTCAATTTGTTAGGTGGTGACAAAACATTTCCTTAAGAGGTAGCCCCAGTTTGCACTCCCACCAGCATTGTACAAGAACTCTGATTGCTGCACGTCTTTACCAACACTGAGCATTGCCAGGCTTTTAAACTTATCTCTTTCTGATGAGTATACAACTATCTTATTGTTTTAATGTGCATTTCCCTGTTACTAATGATGTTGAATATCTATTAATGTTTATTGTCATTTGTATTTTCTTCGTTGTGAAGTTTCTGTTCAAGTGTTTTTCCTCCCTGTTTTTCTAACGAGTTGTCTTTTTTTCTTATTGATCTACAGGAGTTCTTTATATATTTTGAATGAGTCCTTTATTCTATGTATTATAAATAATTTCTCTCATTTGTGGTGTGTCTTTTCATTTTTTTAGTGATGTTTTGGTATGAAGAGAAATTTGCAATTTTATTACAGCCACATGGATTATGTTCCTTGTGCTCTACTTGAGAAATCTTTCCTTACCCTGAGGTTAGAAAAAATTTTCTTATGTTATCTCCTAAAAGCTTTATATATTTTCTTTCACATTTAATTTTTAATCACTTTGGAACTGGTTTTTATGCATGGTATTTGGTGCCAGTTCAATTTAATCTCTTTATATTTGGTATCTAATTATTCCAATATGAAGTGACAAACAGCTTTTCTGAAAATGACCCCTCACATTCTTTATAGCTTTTCCGTCAGTGTGCTATCTTGGAACCAAGAACAGGTTTTCACCTCATAAGAGAGGGGCTGTGCCTAAATCCAGCTTCTTATGAAATTGGTCGTTCCTTCTCCCAGCAAAAAGGGCTGCAATTTCTCACACTGGGATTCCAATTATGTGTTTGTTAGACTGCTTTATATTGTCCACAGTTCTTAGATCCTCTGTCCTGGTTTTTTTCTGTCATTTTTTTGTTTTCTCTCTTGGTGTTTCAGTTTGGAAATTTTTTATTACCTATCTTCAAATTCACTGATTGTTTCCTTAGCCCTGTTGAGTCTACTGATAAGCCCACAGAAAACATTTTTCAATTCTGTTACAGTGTTTTTATTTCTCAGATTTCTATTTGACTCTTTCTTAAAGTTTCCATCTCTCTGCTGAAATTCCCCATCTGCTCATGCATGTTGTCTCTCTCTCCCATGTTGTCCACCTTTTCCACTATAACCTTTAAGATATTAGTAATAGTTATTTAAAATTAACTGATAGTTCCAACATCTGGATCATTTCTGTGTCTCAATTTGTTGATTGTTTTGTCCCTTGACAGTGAATTTTTTTCCTTGCTTTTTTTGTGTGTCTCACAATTTTTTTGTGTGTGAGGAAGGTTAGCCCTGAGCTAACATCTGTTGCCAATCTTCCTCTTTTTGCTGGAGGAAGATTGTTGCTGAGCTAACATCTATGCCAGTCTACCTCTATTTTGTATGTGGGACACTGCCACAGCATGGCTTGATGAGCGGTGTGTAGTTTTGTGCCCGGGATCCAAACCCATGAACTCCAAAATGCCAAAGTGGAGCATGTGAACTTGACCACTACGCCATGGGGCCAGTCCCTGTCTCATAATTTTTGATTGAATGTTGAACTTCATGTTTAGAATAGCGTATACTGAGGTATATATTTGTGCCTGGAAATGGACATGCCTCTTCCGCTAGGCAATTGGGGTGTGTGTGTGTGTGTGTGTGTAGTCAATCAACTTAGCTGGGTTTGGGTTTTGTTGTTGTCATGGTTACCTTTCAGTACATCACTGGTTTCAAACTATTCCAGTGTTATTTTGTGCTTCTGCTGGGGTCATGGAGGTTTGTTTCCTTCAATGTTCCTGCTCCACTCTTGGTGTCTGCACAATAGAAGGAGGCTCTCACTATGCTCTTGCCTCTCTTCCAGCAGATTTCTATTGCTTGTTACTTAGTAATTGCCAGCCTCATGGTTGGGAAGTAGGAGAGTTTTTAGATTGTCCTGGTCCAGCCTCAGGCTTAGGCATGTCCTCTGTACCTTCTTAGTCATCCTGCTTCTCCCTCCCTTGGCAGTCAACTTTGCCTTGTCTTCTTGGCAGGTTTTGTGCAAGAGAATTTTGTGCCCCTCCTCCAATAGCAGGATATCTCTAATAATCTGGGCCCATGCCTATTTCTTGCTCCTCCCCCAGGAGTAGGAGTTTTTTTCTTTTACCTTTTCCCTACCCTCAGTAAGTTTTCACCTGTGCCCTGGGGGCAATCAACAAAGTTTGCTGTGTCTGTCCCAGTACCTTCATCTGCTCCATACTGAAGTTCAAGATATGCAAGCTTTTTTCCCTTCTGTGAGTGTGAGTGTGTGTGTGTGTGTGTGTGTGTGTGTATGTATGTTTGTGTAGGTTGTAGCGCTTTGGGAAACCCCACTTGAGGCTGGGAGGATCTTCTACGAGACTACTCATCTTGAGTAGACCCTGGATTTTGTTTCCTGTTCCCTTTTTTCTGTGAGGTGACGAAAAGCAAAACTCAATTTCACTCTTTGTAAACGTCCTCAAGACAAAGGCTAGCTGCAGCACTCTCCTTATCTTTCTGGGTTCTTATCTATATTCAGTTCCTGGTCTTAGGAATTTCTTATAGTCCTACCAGCTTATTGCTATATTTAAGATTTTTAAAGAGCTTAATCCAGAATTTGAGGTTGTTTTTGATGGATGGTCAGTAGATAGCTGGCTTGTCACATTGCTGAAATGGAAGTGTATTCATACATTATAAAAGACAGTTAAGCCTGCCCAAGAAACTGGCATCATCATAAATGACATGAGTATAGTATACTTGAAACAGTATGGTATATTCAAATATATTTCTAATTATTACATACTTGATTTAAGTAGATGATAATCTGGACACATTTTGCATTTTTATTTTCAACTTTTAAATTAAAATTGTTTAAGTGCAAAATAGAACATTTCTTTCAAAAGGTGTTTTTCCATACTTACAGTAAGTGTAACCTTTCATTGAGACGATTTAGGGATTGTAGGATCTTCTGTTCTTCAGCTGATAGTGCACAGATGTTGAATCGCTGGGTCTTATTTAAAGCCAGATTTGGTTTCTGCAGCTGCTTGCTATTCATGACAGTTAGAATTTCATCCTCAGGCACTGAAGCTTTCACCAGGTTTTCAGCCATCAAAAACTCAGAAGTACTGTCTGAAACTACAGAAATTCTACGTTAACTATTCTTTGATCTCTTTTCGTCTTTTGGATCAGCCCTTATACATACTTAACTGACATATATCTGTATGTATTCATTTCACAAACAGAAACTCAGTAAATCTATTACTTTGCATTTTATTTATCAGGATCCTGTATATCTAGTATTTTCCCATCCTTAATTTAAAAAAATATTCAAAATGGTGGTAGTGAGGTAATAAAAATTCCTAGAGTATTAACTGAACTAAAGAAAAAATACATTATGTTTAGATTATCTTTTGTTGTGTTTTTGTTATTCTTTGGAAGTACAAAGAGAAGGTGAAGTAGATTGTCTTTATAATAGCAATGAAGATGAGTTATAAATAAAAGAGTAAGAGAAAAGGAATTTAAGGGAAGATTAGAAAATTAGATTATCAGCTGAATAGAACTGACAGCCTAGAAACAGACCCAGTGAGATATAAGAACTTAACAAATGATTAAAGCAGCATCAAAGACTTGAGAGAAGGGAGAGAGGACTCAATACATTAGTTTGTTGTTTATGAAAGAAACAATTTGGGATTTCACTTCATACCATCCATTTAAACAAATTCCAAAGTTAAAAAATTAACTTTAATGAATCAAACTATTAAAGCAATCTAGAGGGAAAAGAAATAAATGTTTCTAAATTTTTGTATTGGGAAGTTTCTTTGAGCTTAAAAGAAACTTAATGGAGAGCTCACTAAGAAAAGACTAAAAACATGTTTATTTAAGGCCAGTCTTCGCTAAGAGACTTTAAATTTCTGAAGGTCAAGACTTTTTAATATTTTATTCATTATTGTATCTCCAATATCTAGTTGCAGGGAGGAAATTAGCTCTCAACAATCATTTATTGAAAGAAAAATGAAAAGCAACACTTCTATATGTAAAAATACAATATAAGTGAAATAAAATGGAAATAATAAAGTAGCAAAAACATTTGCAACTAATATAAGGATTAGAATCCTTGATATTCAAAGAATTTTCAGAAATCAGTAAGAAAATACCAAAGCTCCAGTATCTACAGGGAAAAATGATATGTTGAAACAATTCACCAAAATTAAATATACACACAAAACAATTCAGCATATTATTAACAAAATGTGTATGAATCAAAACTAATAAAACGCCATTTCTTTGCTTGTCACATAAGCAAATAGTAGAAGTGATTCTACCTCAAGTTGGAATATACCCCAGAAGAATTTTAAATGATAATCTTTTCAGGAAAATAATTTAGGAATATGTATGGAAAGGTATAACAGTGCTTATTTCCTTTGATCCAGCAGTCATTTAATATGCTGAGTTTCATTCAACAAATATTTATTGGGTGCCTATTACATGCCGAGTATTATAATTTTAATTCTGGGAATCTATCTTATGGAAATAAGGAGAAGTCAGGAAAAAGCTTGATACAGAAAGATGTTCAATACATTATTATTTAGATTAAAGAAAAACTGGCAATAACCTAAATGTGTAGGGTGAGGAGAATTCAGGTCCCAAATGGTGGTTTAACAGTCATGTAATATGTTAGTACTTGGGAAAACACATGCAAGAAAGAAATCACTGAGAACAAAGCTCAGAGGAGAATGTTTAAACTAAAACATACCTTCTTCAATATTAGAAGTACCCCTTGTGGTTTTTTTTGGCTCACTTGAACTTAGCTGGACACTTTGTCCAAAATTCTATAAAAATAGAATATTAAATCAGAACATAATTCCATATTTAAAATTCATGATATATACATTTGAATTTTAAAAAACTTTTATTTGCTGTATATATCTTCAGTTATTACTGTTCATATAAGCTGCATATTTTCTTTGGTTTGGAAAAGAATTTTGAGAAAAGGATGGTTTGGAAAAGAATCCAATTTTGGAAAATTTTCAGACTGCACTGCAGTGTTGTGTTGGATATTTGGAAGAGGAAAGTAAGTTGGGTAGCAATCAAAAGTGCTAATTAGAAGGTAAAAAATTACCTTATGGTTGGTAACCTAGCTGGTTTATCATTGTAAGGGTGAATCACAACTACTAGCCAAAAGCCTCTAATTATGGCTAATGCCAAGGACAGGTAAGCATCTTAGACAACAAAACCTAAAACAGAGATAGCTGCCTCAGTGCTGCCTAGAATGGGGAAATGGGAAATCTCAGCACAGCCATTTGACACTCTCTGAGAGATAACAACTCTCCTTCCCTGGATGTGCTTTACTTGATTAGCAGTCATTTGGACATGTCCGAAATGTCCATCAGACATTTGGTCCATGCCAAAAGGTCCTTGATATTTGGTCCTGTCCAAAACCATTTGGCATGTACCAAATATGCTCATGGATGTTTTGGACAGGAACAACTGTCAAGGACCTTTTGGCATGAACCAAATGTCTTCTGGATGTTTTGGGCAGGCCCAAATGTCCTGCAAGGGGGCTATTTTGCTTCTTTTTTCTCATTCTGTTCCACTTTAAGAAATGACTGTTTCCCTCAGATAAAATTGCCTGGCTATGGCTGTACCTAGCCTTTGTTCAGTCTAATCTAAAGAGTAGCTGACGCAGGTTTCTGCAACAGCCCTCCTTCAATAGCTTTCATAGCCTTGAATGATCGCCATTATATACTTGAGACACCTTGGACTGAGACCCTGGCACAGACGGGCGATGGTGCTTTTGCTATCTTTCATTGATCTCTTTTAGATTCTCTTCACATAGAAGTAGTGGGCTGGGAAAAATCCAGTATGATAAAATACATTTCCTAACACAAAGTGACAGGTGCCAGTGCTAGAGTAACTCAAACCCTTCTTTAGGCTCTTGAGTAAAGGAAGAAACAAAACCAAAAACCAAAAATCAAAACAAAACAATAGGGATGAAAAAATTAAACTTCAAAGCTGATTTTGATTTAGGAACACTGACCTATTCTAAAGCTAACAAGACTTCGGAAGACTTGTAAGTGGGTGTGCAAGTGGAAGATGTCTATGGGAAAGTGCAAGTGACGCTTCTGGAAAGCAGGACAAAAATGTACTCTAAAGGCAGTGGATAGAATGCAAAGGAGCAAGACATAGAAGAACAAAATAAGACACAGAAAAATAAAGATGAATTTAGAGAGGGTACTAATAACAGGCATTTAAAATTTAGTTCATTTTTTTTGTTATAACTACACATTACTTTCACAAAAAATGTATTAATAAAAATATAGAAAAAATAAAGATAAAAGAAGTAATATTGAAAGTAGAAACTCCAAGTGAAATGCTATTTACTTATCCATCTAGATTTTTTTATTATTTTAAAGTTTAATCCTTGTATCAAGCTAGACCTCTAGAAAACGTCATATTTAGGTCACATTTATTTAGCTTTCTGAGAATTACCTCCACTAATTTTTAAATTAATGTTATTATGCTTCGACTATTATTGAAGATCTCTATTTCAAACAGCTATAAAACTTGTCATTCATTTTTTGTTGACTGTTCATAGGGATATATCCATTATGAACTTCAAGGTCCCCTATAGAAGATCCTCAATGGGAAATGTCTTTTAATATAGTGTAACGTAAAATCATTATCGATATCCCCCGAGAACTATATAACTCATCCTATTTTCCTTTTGCCATGTCTTCCAGGAAGCTCAGATCCAAATAGGACATTGAAACACAAGGAATTATATTAATCTTTATAATTAATATACTTCCTCTATCCATGGCTCTAATTTACTTTTTTAAAAAATATATATTTAAATAACTTTTTGAGAATAATCTGTTTTTCTCCAGAGTTGATTATAACAAATAAAATAATAATGGCAATTTCTTAACGTTGGTTTAAAATCTTCATTAGTAACTGATCACACAGACTAATTAGAATACAGCAAATAAGTTCAGTACCATAAGCCCCTAGCATAGAGATTCCAAGGCTGCTTCACAATGGCTATGTTTATAGTTATGTCATGATGCACAGTTTACAGCAAGAACACAGTCCTTTAAGAACATTCTGTTTTCCAAGCAATTTTCCACTATTGAACAGAGATTTTTACTAGTACTGTACTTACATTCATTTGTTCACTGTACTTCTGTCCTACAGATCCAGAGTTTTCTCTTTTCTGCTCTAAAAGATTTCTCTGCTTATTTTCAACAGTTCGTTTTCTTCTTATAACAGTAGAATCTTAAACAAATGCCAGCACAATGTCAAAAGTTAGACAAATTGAGTAGATAATATATATCCACCACATTATAAGCTTCTCTTACATGTGCTATGCATGGCACAGTTACAATCATGAATTAAACAAAATATCTGCTTCTGAGGGTTTTATAGTTTAGAGCAGTGACCTCGAAAGTGTGGTGTTGGAACGTCAGGAGGACATGCAAAATAAATCTCTGCTGTGCAGGAAGAACATATTAGAATTCTAATTTATATCTATTATCTAAAAATTATAAATTAAGTTTTACTATGGCAATATACGGTTGACACTGGCATCCCTGTCAGTTTGCAAGGCAGATGTTCACGTATTGCATTCAGTGAACAGTGGTCTTGGGAGAAGAGTAGAGGTTCTAAGTGTGTGAGGTTGGCAGTGCTATCATTTATCGTGCTCTTCTGCTTTCTGCTATATACTAAATTTTATGTGTGCCCTGGTAAGTGGATTTATGGATATCTCATAGTATCTGAATGAGTCCTCACAAAATGGGAAAGAGGCTTAAAAAACACTTTTGTAGGGCTTCCATTGTACGTGTAATGTTTTATTATTTAAAATGAATGGTGGATACATGGATATTTCTAATCTTCCTATGATTTTTGCATGATTAATTGAAAACATTCTTGCAAAATCATAGATCAAAGATAATACTAATAATACAAGCACAGATGAATAAGAAAAAGGCAGAGCTGACACATCTCTTATTCTCATTACAAACTCTTTGCCACATAATGACAATGACAGTATAATTATATTTGTAACAAAGTCAGGATCACAAATTAAAAAATTATCAAAAAACTATAACAATAAACTTCACCCTAAATGCATAATGTGCCTTGAGATATTAGCTAATGATGGTATGTGAAATGAAGTCATCATAATTGCTAAGACATTTGAAACTAAGCATTCGGAGGATTATTAATATATGAGAGAAAAAGTACTGGATATATTAATACATAAAATTATTTTATTAATTATTTTAAAGTGTTTTATTTATAAAATACAAAATTTAAAAATTATTTTAAAAGTTTGTACTTCATCTTTATCTTATTCTTTACAAATTTCTATTTCTGGTTAAGGTACTTAATGTATGCATTAGTACAGCAATACATGTGTATGGCGTATATATACAATATGTGCTCATAGTTTTTATTAATAGCAGTACAATAAAGAAATCTTGAAGTCCATTAGTCTAGAATAATGGATATGAATTTAAATGGATTATTACAGTAAAAGGAATAAATTGTATGTAAAGCTAGAAACAGAATTAAGTGAAAGCACAGAAGCTAGAGTGTCTTTGTGAGAATCAAGAGGTAATGGCTGAGCTTGGTCTTAAAGGAGTAGTTGGTTCCCAAGTGGAAGGAACTCTCCGAGTCAAAAAGAACATTATGTTCAAAGGTGTAAAGTAACAATGATGGATAGTTAAGTTTCTTGCTGAGAGGTGGAAAATTCAGTTCATCTGGGGCATAGACTATAAGTATGTGTGTAAACACAAATGTCTTGGGAAGTACATGGGAGTGTGTGCATGTGTGGTTTTGTGATAAGAGTTAAGGTAAGAGAAAAAACGAAAATATTTTTAGCTCTGAAATTACGTACTGGAGAACATAAGATTGAATAGTGAATCTAAGTTATGTTACTATAGTTGTATATATATATTTCTATATACAACTATACATATATATTTATGCATATACTATAACTACATATAAAACTTTATATATAACTATCTATATCTATATAACAACAAAGACACAAAAGCTTTCAACTTTCAAGAAAGTTGGCTAGTAATTGAACACCTGACCTTTTAGAGTTCTAGCTAATATTTATTGAGCATTTATGATTGCCCAGGCATTGTTCCAAGGGCTATAGCTACTATTATCATTACTATTTTCACAGATAAAGAAATTCAGGCACAGTAGAGGATAAGTAACTTGCCCAAGGTCACAGAGCCAGTAAAGGGCAAAGCTGGGATTTAGCTCCAAGCAGTTAGTCTCTAAAATCTAAAATTCTAGCTCTTACTCTCTGTGCTATTAACTTTCATTCTGATTTGACTGTGTCTCACAGAAAGAAATAGATTTGGCAGTGTTACCCACGATGCATATTTATGCACAATTTTGTGAAACTTATTTACCCTGATGATATATGATGCCCTCTGGTAGTGTCTATTCTAGAACATTTTGATTCAAAATTATATTTCATTAAAAAAGTTCTGGTCACCACTCATTAAGTTAATTTCATAATCCTCTAATAAGTCATGACCTATAGTTTAAAAAGCATTTTTATTCCCATGCATATGGGTAAGCTAAATGCTAAATGTTATAGTTTCTAGTGAGATCATCTGGGCAGTAATAAAGTTTCTATGCTGTTTTCTATGCTTGGAATTGTCTGCTCCTAAATTCTGTAAAGTCCCTTTCTTTTATTTTTTTTTTTGGTGAGGAAGATTCACCCTAAACCAGCATCCATTGCCAATCTTCCTTTTTTTTTTTTTTTTTTGCTTAACGAAGATTAGCTCTGAGCTAGCATTTGCACCAATCTTCCTCTACTTTGTATGGGGGATGCCTCCACAGCAGGGCTGATGGATGGAGTAGGTCTGCGCCCAGGATCTAAACAGCAAAACCAGGCTGCTGAAGCAGAGTGCACAGAACTTTAGCCACTTCGCCACAGGGCCGGCTCCTCTCTCTTTCCATTTTTGAAGAGCTTTAAAAACACCTTAAGTGAAAATTTCCTTGGCCACATGACTGCTACATCAACAGTTTTTCCTGTGGCCGGCCCTGTGGCCGAGTGGTTGTCACGCACTCTGCTTCAGTGGCCCAGGGTTTCACTGGTTCAGATCCTGGGTGCGGACATGGCACCACTCATCAGGCCATGTTGAGGTGGCGTCCCACGTGCCACAACTAGAAGGACCCACAACTAAAATATACAACTATGTGCTGGGGGGATTTGGGGAGAAAAAGCAATAAAAAAAAAAAAAAAGATTGGTAACGGTTGTTAGTTCAGGCGCCAATCTTTAAAAAAAAAAGAGTTTTTCCCTTCCTTCAGCCTGTTCATAAATCTTCTGGAAGTAGGACCTACCAACATTTTTGTACTTTCTTGATCTGTAGCACAATTATTTTCTTTGTGCTTTGTTGTTCTTTGTGTAAACATTCAGTTTTGTGGATTGTAGATTATGGATCCCAGGAACAGATACACTATATGCTTAAAACTGTTTAGTGTTCTATTCACATACATGCACTTAAATACTATCTCCTAATTAATATAATAGCTGAGAACCTTGGTATTTTTGTAAAAACAATACAGTTTGTACTGGCATATCTGGCCAACTTTATAGTCTCATATAAAAATTCTAGATATGATAGTTTTACTACCAAAACTCAAAATAAAGCTACGAATCTTTAATAAAGTATTGTATATTTTTAAATTTGTAGTATTCTTAATTATAAACGTAAGAGAAAATTCTGGAGACATTTACAGAATTACAGCCTTTAGAAGAGATCTTAGAAGTTCAACCTTTTACTCAAAGCTCTAAATTACTCACCTCTGCTTGAATGGTATATGATGGGGAGCCATTACCCCACAGGGCACCCTCCTCCGTTGTTGGTGGTTTTAGCCCAAACTATTCCTTGTGCTGAGCTGAAAACATCCTTGCAACTGTTACCCCTTCATTTAGTTCTGTTTTCTCCTTCTTTCATACGATAAACCTTTAAATATACGTACACAGCTAGGCTTGTGCTCCTTTAATTGGTCTTCAGATCCAACCCCTCCTTCCGAAGTCCTGGGTCACCCCTGCTTGTTTAAATAGCCCTTAGAACATAGCCTAAAATATCGTAGAATACAGTAGTACTTTCAAAGATCTGGTTATTATTGCATAAAATTATATTAAGCTTTTAACAGCTATAGCAAACTTTTTGTGCGTGTGTGTGTAGTTTTGCGCAGATTTTTTCCCTCTTTTTTATAAGAATGGTTGTCAAGGCAAATATCTCTCTTCTTGGAACTGTAAAATTTAAAAAAATCCTAACTAAATACATACAAGCAAGCTGCAAAGGAAAAGACCACATTAAAATGAACTTTTATTCATCAAGAAGAGTGAAACCAAAAATCACAAAGTGGCAGAAAGTAACTGCAACACATACAACTATATATCCCAGAATATACAAAGAACTTAAATCAATAAGAAAAAAAATCAACAGTGGACATTTCACAGAGGAGGAAATGCACATGAAAACATAAATATATGAAAAGTCCTCAATTCATTAGTAACCAGGGCAATGCAAATTGTTATAATTAAACACCATTTCTCACCCATAAAATTGAAAACACTAAAAAGTGTATCAGTTTTGGTGAGCATGTAGTAAGGGGAAGTTCCATATATTGCTCTTGAAAATAATTTGGCATTACCTAGTAAAGTTGAAAATACACATATCCTACGATGCAGCAACATGTGTATCAGTAGACATACAAAACTATTCTTAGAAGCATTGTTCATAAAAGCAAGAAACTGGAAGCAACCCAAATGTCCAATGATAGAATGAAAAATTTTTGTACATTCATGTAATGGAATGTAATATAGCAATGAATACAAATGAAGTGAAGTACAGCTAAACTAATCAATAATAATGAACCCAAAGAACTAAATTGATTGAAAAAAGCAAATCATAGAAGAATAGGGACAAAAGGATTCCATTTATATGTTACAAAACTAGGCAAAACTAAATATTGTTTGAGACACATTTACATGTGGTAAAATTATTTAAAAAACATGAATAATTAACACAATTCTATATGGTGGTCACTTCTGTAATAGAAGGGGAGGAGCATATGAGATTTCAATGATACTAGTGATTTTCATTTCTAAAACTGGGCAGTGGGTACAGGGTTCTTTTTTAATTACTAGTCTTTAACTTGTTCTTATATATTACATACATTCTTTTGTATGTGAGATATATTTCACATTTAAAGAACTTTAAAAAGTAAATTGAATGCAAGTACATGACTTTATAGTTATCTCTGCTAAATTGAACTTCATTAGTTTTGGTTTATCATTTCAGTTAGTAAAGATGATTTTGAATCATCTTGATTCCATCCTCCATTTTATTAATGACTTCCTTTGCCACTCCGTGCATTCCATAAACTGTATAGATCAATGTAATATTTTTTTCATGTATATCAATGAAAAACCTGTGACTATTCAGAGTTCTAAAAATTAAACTAAATTAGTTAATATTTTCCAGATTTATTGAGATACTATTGACAATATAACATAGGTAAGTTTAAGGTGTACAATGTGATGATTAGATACACATATATATTGCAAAATGATTACCACAATAAGGTTAGTTAACACCTCCATCCCCTCACTTAGAGAGTTTTCTTTTTGTAAACAAGGTTAATAGCTAAGTAGCTAAGAGCACAGACACTAGAGACAGAATGCCTGCATTGTAATCCTGGCTATGTCATTTATACTAGCTATATGACTTACACAAGTTATTAACTCTGTCTGTCTCAGTTTCCTCATTTATAAAATGAGAGTAACACTATTTACCTCACAGAGTTGTTGGGAGAATTAAATTTTTTTCCACATGTAAAGTGCTTAGCGTAGTGATTGGCACATAGTAAATACTATCTAATTTTTAATAATTTGCTTCAGTGTCTCTGATTAAAGTTCTGATCTCATGAAAACTAGATTTGTTCTAAGGTAAGAACACTGGAGCTGCAAAACAAAATCCTGGCTCTTCTTTGAACCAGCTGTGTCATCTTGGGCTATATAGTTTCACTATTATGTGTGTGAATTTTCTCAACCATAAAATATGAGAGTTAAACTCAATTGTATCTTTGGTCCTTTCTAGTAATCAAATTTTTGATTCCTTGAAGGTATTCTTAATCCTTCCTGGAAAAGAAAAAAAATGCATTCTTTCTGAAATCAGATTTCAAAGTATTTAATAAGCCAACATCATTTGGCTTTTTAAAAAACTGAAGTATAACCACCTATAGAAACATGCACAAGTTATAAGTATACAGATTATATACTCACACCCAGATTGCACAGCCACCTGAGTCAAGAAACAGAACATTTCTATCACTGAAAAAATCTTCCCTCCGTTTCCACAGACCCCCCAGCATAGTTTTATCTGTTCTTGAACCTGATAGAAATGGAGTATGCATTTTTATGACTGGCTTCTTTCACACGATATTATGGTGTGAGATTCATCCATGTTACTCTTTCTTACTAGTGGCTCATTCATTTCATTACAGTATTTCATTGAATGAATCATGGAATTTCACTCTATTTACATATTGTAGTGTTGAAGGACATTTGAGATAATCCCAGGTTCTGGTTATCAAGCTGCTAAGAAAGCTCCTGTACATGTCTTTTGGGTTACATGTGAATGAATTTCTGACACATGTACACATACACACACAATCTCCTGGACTGGAATTGCTGGGTCCTTGAATATGCATATGTTCAACTTTAGTAGATACGTGTTTCCAGGGGTTACACATCTTTACCAACACTTACTTAGTATTGTATCTTTTAAATTTTAGCCATTCATATATGTGGAGTTGCATCTACTTGTTTTAATGTGAATTTTCCTGAGGATTGAGGCTCTCATATGTTTATTGACCATTTGGCTATCCTTTGTAAAAAGCCTATTCAAATGTTTTGCCTTTAAAACAATTGGTGATGGTCTTTTTGATGTGTCACCTAATCTACAGTCCTTCGTTATTCAATAAAACACTAATGTAGGTGTTGCTGTAAAGATATTTTGTAGATATTATTGAAGTCCATAATCAGTTTGCTTTAAGTAAGGGAGGATACCCTAGACTTGGAGCCATAGATATTTGGATTAAAATATCAGTTTTGCTATTTACTAGCTCTTGACTTTGGGCAATTTTATTTCCTTCTTTGCAAAATGGGGTTTTAAAAAATGCTTACTTTTCAGGCTTGTTGTGAGGTTTAAAGGAGACAATAAGGGTAAAGCACTTAGCACTGTAACCTGCATAGATTAGGAACCCCAAAAAGGTAACCATCATAATTTATTTATCATTATTTACTTTAGAACATCAAATCTGTATGATGCTTTCATTCTTTGGAAGTAGTATGAAAACTTAAGTTACACTGTGAAATGGCTGAATAAAAGGAGAATGAAACCTTTAGTGAAAGAAATAATTTTTTAAACTCAAGGTTTTTGTAGATAAGTCTTGAAGATTTTTAGATTAGAGTCTTTGCATTTAGCTTCCCATCTGCTAATATGGCTTGTGTCCATTCAATTCAAGAAAAGTTTTGGTGCCTATTAAGTGCCAGGTACTGTTAGGATTTGGGATACAGTGATGAATTACAAAAAAGGTCCCTTGTCCTTAAAATCTCATGGTCTAATTGAAGAAGACTTTGAATATTAAATTTTAAACTAATTCTCTTTTTATACCTTCTTAATGTTTATTCATACCTTTGGGAAAAGAAAAGAGTTGCTTTTATGATTTTTTCCCAAGTCCTATCTATTTCTCAATAGGCAATTAATTCCTACTAGTAGGAAAATTTATTTCTAGTCTTCTTGTCAATTCCCTCAGAGGAAAGTAGCTTTATAGGACTCAACCAGCAACTACAGGCAATGGCATTCTATAGAGAATTAATTTTCAAAAATCTTTATAGGAATGCTATCATTTTTTCTCCATATGAAAACCAACATACATAACAGATAAAAGTAGAACTGCCAGTCTTTGGAAAGAGGAGGGGAGGGTTAGGCACACTTATTGTTAGCTTATAACAATTCAGTTTAACAAACAGTTTAAAGAAAAATAAAAGAAAGCACTATAACCACATTTATTCACCTATTTAGAATAATTTAAACAATATTTTTCTCTGTGCTTACTTTGATAAAATTTTGACTATAATATTGGGGTAATGACAGAATGATGTGGGATAAGAATCAGACCCTATTCTTTGTTCTCCCTCTTTTAAACGAACAAGAAAAGTCATGGAAAAAATGGAAGCTGGCAAAACTTTCTAATTTTAGTTGAGTAAAGTTTGGGTTGTTTTCTTAAAACCTTCAGCTACTAGAGAGACAAGGGTACAATATTAAGGGAAATAAGTTATTTCTATAAGGCTGTTATTATTTAATATTAATATCTATAAGGTACACATTGCCATACCTCAGTAAGAAAAATTTCACATGAATTTAAAAAGTTACATATTTTGTCTATAAAAATATATAAATTTATTCTTACCAGCAGCCTTTTCATTTTGACCCAGAATATTACACTGTCTTTTCCACAAGGGAACAGATTCTTCTTTAGTAGTTCTAAGAGTCACAGAATGATGACTTTCTTCATAAACAGGACATCTTTGGGTATAATGTAACGTCCCATCTTGCTGAGCAACCATGTGAGTGCCATTTGAATGATTTACTTTTGCTAAAGTTTGGCACTCAGAAGAACAATAAGGTAGAGATGGCATCACAGTGTCTAAGTCAGAACAAACACGTGAGAGTGGAAGACTACTTTCTTGATTCCACTGATTCACTTTGTCTTCTGTTGGAAGCACAGGCTTTGAATTTAAATAGTTATGTGTAATAATGTTTTGAGAATTTTCAGACCTTACTGATTGACATTGAGATGCTTGTATATTTTTATGACTCCTAATATTTGATGGAGATTTAGGAGGGGGATGAGGTACAATTAATCTACCCTGAGCTTGTAAAAATGTGTTGGCTTTGCTTGCAGACTGTGGTGGAATAACAGTGCCTTTTCTGTTCGTGTATATAAAGGCTGATTGGACTTTAGCAGATCTTGTTCTTCTAACTACTTTTGCTCCACCTCTTTGTGGATTAGCTTTCTGAGTTTTAGAATCACCACTATATACAGGGGATTTACTTTCCTCTTGTTTTGAGGCTGGCCAGGCTTGTTCAGCAATGTTATAATCTGAAGGTATAAAACAGTTCAAAGGCACATAGTCTCTTCCAGGTCCTCCTAAAGCAGCGACATTTTCAGAGCTAGAATCATCTTTGGGCTTTTTTCTATCAGCAGAATTTACAGCACAGGCAGGAACACTAATTATGTTGTTGGCAGTACCGCTTTCATTTTGAGCGTGGAATGGTTGAGACCACTGTTGAGATATTCCTGTTCTATTCTTCAGTGAATGATTATCTTCAGCATTTTTTTCTGCATCTCCAGTTTCATCAAACCATCTCAGTTTTTTAATAGTCTTTGGAATTTCTGCACCTTTTCCTTTTTCTTTTGTTAATTCAATACTATCTCTGATAGCTGCTGCTTTTTGACTTCCTAACTCAAAGCCTTGGTTTATAACTAGTGTCTTAAAACAATCATGTTCGTACTTAGATTCTTTTTTTAAAATACTTTTAAGAAACTTCACCCCATTTCTCTCATGAATGTCATATTTCTTTTTTTTGTGTTGGGCAACTAAGTCACAATTAGATATCATATTAGACAATGACGTTGGTGTTTCAGCTATTTCCTGTTTTTTATCTTTTGAATCAGAGTTGTGAGGTATATAGGCAGCTTGAAGGTCATTTGAAAATAAAGGCAACTCTTCCTTATTACAATTAAAATATTTTATCTTTTCATCTTTAACATCTTTCAATTCCCCTAACTTATCAGAACACTGCACTGGGTCGATTTCTTTTATCTGTATACTGCTGTTTGGTAAAGGCCTAGCTGATTGTCTATTAGATGGCAAAACTAAAGGCGTTGCCACAGGTACAAATGAAGTAGGAATTGAAGTAGTTCTTTTTTCTTGAGTTATTTCAGAATATTTCTTTTCGTCTGAAAATGTAGCCATTTCCTGGGTTAGAGAATGTGGAGTGGTCCAGGCTTTGCTGAATTTAAACGTTGGGCTGTCAGTAACTAATGGTCTTTCCCTTTTGAATGCTTCAGAAGAGGAGTCAGTTGTCCTCAGAGTACTAGTTTCAGAGGTCTTTTCACTTTTTTTATCTTGAACAAATGTAGGTGGACTATATACAAAGGCTACCGAATTATTAGCAGTATCTGTGGCTCTTTCCACAGCTCTACTCAGAGCAGATGGAGTTTGTTCTTTACTATTAAAACATTCACAGGAAGGTAGAGCATTAGGTTTACTAAAAATATCTGAGCAAGATGTGACAATCTGAGTATTTGGATCATCTAAATTTGTAAGCCAATTATTTATATGTTGAGTTTTAGAGAATGACAGTTTATCTTCATCAAAGCAGCTTAGATCAGTTGATTGCAGATTTGCTGATTTGAGGAAACTAGAATTCTGCTGAACTGATGTGGAAGGCTCCTTATTAAGTGTTAAATATATTTCTTCATGTTCCCCAGCCTCAAGACTGTCTACGCTTGAGAGGGTTTCAGAATTTGTTATCTGATTAACTTCATCACAAAAATTCTGAAAGAAAAAAAACAACATTGTTTTATAACAGAAATTTTTAAATGCCAAAATTAATGATTCAACACACCATTGTTACCGAGTCCAATTCTCCTTGGTGTATAAAATAGAGTAAAATGACTATAAACGCTGTAGGTATATAAATAATCTATATCTCTGGAGCAGTCCTCAGGGTGAAAAAGAGGGAACTAACAAAGACTTAACAATAAAGTTTGTCTGCCTTAATTTTTACACCTAAAGTAACTACCCAGTTATTCTAGCCACAGGTATAGCTTAGAAAATAATTTTGCTATTGCTATTCCACTCAGAGTATGGAGTTTCTTGAAGGTTTCATAACAGAATGTGAAATTATGAAAAACAGTTATTTACAGATGGTATTTTTTCCTGAAACCTCCACTGGATGTGAATGAGGCTCCTAAAAGCTCTATGACTAAAAGCTCTGTGACAGGTGGTAGGGCTACATCGTTTTATAAAAGTTAATCTTATGGTCTATATAGTAGAGTTCTCAGTGCTGGCTGCATATTGGAATCATGTAAGGAGCTTTGTAAAAATATCTATGCCTGGATCCTGCTGATTTAGTACTTGGATGGGGTCCACGTACTGGATTATTATCTTTAAATTCCCCAGGTAATTCTAATATGTATTTAAAGTTGAGAAAAATTGATTTTAATGACTCCTTTTTGGAGATTCAGCACAGGAATAATTCCCATGAATTCCATAGACATTCCTATAACTATTTCAATGAAAGTTCATGGCACTTATCAGTATTTAATAAAATTTCACGATCACTTCAAAGTATGGTAAATATTTAAAAATATTTCTAATTTCTCACACATATCTAGAATACATTAATCTGTATCACAAATGTAGAAATAAATTCAAGACTTTAAACTGAAAATCTAGTCAAAAAGTTAAATGGACTCAAGGAAAGAAAATTAGTGTTCCTCAAGATTTTTCAAAAATTTTAGAAAACTTAAATATTCTGGTATTAAACAAACATTTATTATTTTTCTAGCCCAGAAAATAAAATAAGAAATCAATCAAGGAAATCAGTTACAGAATAAAAATATTTGCTTGTACAGTTAATGGTTATTGATATATTATTGTGAAATAAGTTTTGAAAATGATTCAAGAGAATTTGATATTACTAGCGTTTTCCCCCTGCTTATCACATCCTTCGGTACTGTGATGTCTTTTTAAAGTGATGGTCACTTAACCTAATTAAGAGAACAAAACAAAGCCCAGCTCCTTTAACGTCTATTTTTGGAACTGAGTTATTTTAATTGATAATGATAAGGAAACCAGGCCTGAAGAGCTTCCTTTGAGATTGCATCTAGTGAGATGTAGAAATCTGGGTTAAAAGGTCCTTGTAGACATAAGTGTGATGTCCATGGCTCTAAGATTTCTCTTTGCGTAGGTCTGTCACGGCCTCATCTTCCAAAGCACTTCAGAAGAAGTTCAGCACCTTCTGATTTCACTAAACTATACTTTTTTCTCCCCAGAATTTTCCTCACCACTAAAAGATGAAACATTATGATCAAATTCAAGTTTTTCTTGTAAGTTACTGATATGAACTGCACTGGACTTAACATGCTTTGTGTTTTAGTTTTCAAATCAACTTTATTGAGGTATACTTATCTACAACAAAATGCACTAATTTTAAATGTATAGTCTGATGGGTTTTGACAAATTATTCGCCCATAACCACCCTACCAAACAATATATAGAACCTTTCCATCTGCTGAAAGTTCTCTAATGCTTCTTTGTAGTCAATATCTACGCATCACTAACCACCACTAATCTGGTTTCCATCACTATATATCTGAGTTTTCATCTGATATCATTTTCCTTTGGCCTGAAAAACTTTCTGAAGCATTTCTTATAGTGCAGACGCTGGTGTGCTGCAGTGGTGTTCAGCTGTTTGTTTGAAAATGCCTATTTTGCCTTCATCTTAGAAGGGTATTTAGTTGGATACAGAATTCTAGGTTGGTAGTGTTTTTATTCCCCAGAACTTTAAAAATGTTATTTCACTGTCTTCTGGCTTGAAGTTAGTGTGGTCCATTCTTATCTTTGTCCACCTGCATGTAATGTATCTTTTTTTCCCTCTGGCTTAATTCAATTTTGAAATGCCTTTGGTCAGGGTGTGTGTGTGCATGTGAACATGCGAGCACACTTGTCTTTCTTGAAGTTTGTTGAGCTTCTTGAATCAGTTTATTTATAGTTTCATCAGATTTAAAACATTTTCAGCCACTGTTTCTTTAAACATTCCCTTTTTCCTTTGTGGGACTTTAATTAAATGTATGTTAAGTTGCTTGATATTGTCTCACAGGTTACTAACATTCTGTCAATTCTTTTCCAGTCTTTTTCTTCTAGCCCTTCAATTTGGATGATTTCTACTGCTATGTCTTCAAGTCCACTGATCTTTTTGTCTGTAATGCCTGCACTGTTAAGCCCATTCAGTGAAATTTTCATTTCAGATATATTTTTCAGATCTAGAAGGTCTATTTAGTTTTTTAAAAAATAACTTTTTTCATTATGTTCATTTTTACTTTAATTCCTTGAAAATATTTATAAAAACAGTTTTAAAATCCTTGTCTATGAATTCTATCATCTCTGTAATTTCTGTGTCTGATTATAATGACTAATTTTTCTCCTGGCTATGGGTCACATTTTCCTGCTTTTTATACATGTCAAGTTTTGATTGAATGCTGGACACTGTAAGCATTATATTGTATGTTTAGATTTCAATCTTCTTTAAGAGAGTGTTCAGGGTTTTCTTGACAGGTAGTTGGGTTACCTGGGGATTTTTTTGAGGCTTGTCCAGAGAACGTGTCCAGGTAAAAAGCCTTTGTGATCATAGGGCTTACTTCATTTATTTCCCTTTATTTCAAGATCATACCTGCAGTCTCTGTTGTCTAATGTCTAAAAACACTTGTTTCATATATCTTATTCATAAGTATAGTTGTTTATGGCAGGAAAGCACTTCATCATAGCCAGAAGAATTCTCCTGCTTTGCTTTTTTAGCCTTGCCACTATTGCTCAGTTGTTGGCTAAATCAGGCCAAAGTTAAGAATTTAACCCCGATATTGGCCTATTAAGAATCTCATAAATATGTGTAATTACTCATGAAAAATAAAGTACATGAACAGTTCAGGAAAATCAGCTGAAATCTATACTTGTTTGTGGGAAAATATCAAAATAAATTCCCGGCTAGAGACAGAATAGAAACACCATTTCTAGCTAATTGTGCCATATTTTCATTAAGGATCTAATATCCACATGGATTACAATTTTCAGGTTGCTTTGTATAATCCAGTCTCTAACAATGATACTTATATTACATTGTACTTTCAAATAGCTTTCATGTTTGTCAGGAAATAACAGTCATAAAGCATATTTTTCTAAGCATGAATGATGGAAAAAAATAGAGGAAGCAGAGAGAAAAATGAGTAAAAGGGAAAAACTAAAAAATTATTTCTCTTGTATCTGTGATGAATTTTTACTGATTCATCCACATCCTAACCTTGGCTAATGGCATACATGTCTTTAGTGGAGAACACAGCAAAAATGGGACAGAATTATTACCAGATATTAAAATATTAATAAAATATTTATAGTTTCATACTTGCAAACTGCTTAGATGCTGATCTTCTAGGAGTTTCTGAGTTTCCTCCAGTTTAAGCTGGAACACATCTTTGTTAGCAGTCAAGTTTGCCCTGCTGTTTTCCTTCATTTCTTTATCACAATTGATTTTGGATAAGAGATGTTTCTGATGCTTCTGATCATTTTTTGACAATGATGAAAGCAAGGCATTATTTATAGCTCTGTGAACCATACATAAAAAATGTTTAGTACATTTAAATAAACTTCTTTATATATATATTACATTCAGGTAATATGTGTGTGTATATGTCCAGATAATCACATATAAGGATATTGGAGAAATATATAGACATATTAGAATGGGAATTAAGGCAGTCAACAATAGAATAAAAATGTTTGTGGGATTATAGTGCCAATAAAGCACTCCACCTCCATGTAGGAATTATTCATGACTTTGATTATTAAGTCCTATTCCTTTATTGTTTGGGATAAATGTAGAAGGAATTCCTACAGATGTATAGAGTCAGTCCTCAGTTCTTTAAGAGCATTCCTATCTGGATAACAATATGCTGCATTACCCATTAGTTCAGAGGCCAGTGTCATGGCTAGTAGGCATTCCTTTAATGCTAATAGAATTAGTTGAAGATTCAAGCAGACAGAAAATAGAAAATTTGCTTGTCAGGAATTTCCATCTACTTTACTAGGTTTGGGAGCTTGGATCTTGTTCCATGGAGGAGAGTGTACATATTTGTTCTCAGGTGTACCACAAACATAAGCATGGTTTTCATGCCACAGAAGGGATACATTTAATGCAGAGTCTACTTTTAGTGTGCAAAAGTGCCACCCAAAAATTATCAGTGGATGACATCAGCTTCTATTAAAATTTTGCATCTTCTGGAAACTTATAGCATGTTACATTTCAGTGTATGTACAAAGTGAAAAGCAAAGAACAAAGGAAGATTTGCAGGGCAGGGTGGATGGGGATGAGGTATATCAAATAGCTGACTAGGGCCTTAGTGTGAATCCCAAGTGCATTTACTCCCAATTCATTTGAATTATTCCCAATTCAATGAGGATGAAAATATTTTGGAAGGTGACACATGGCCACATGTGACGTATACCTATCTCCAATACCCATATATATCTTTATTTGGACAGACTGAAATAGTCAAGGTCAATGATTACTAGATTCCTGACTATCCTTTTGAGACCACAAGGAGATCAGGGAGGGCAAGAAGGTATTTAACACAAGTTCCTGAACACTGAGAGGATGTTTCTCTCTCTTCCTTTTAGGCTTTCCTACTCTTACATAGTCCTTTTCCCTTCAATCACCCTTCCCAAACAAAATATTGCTAAATCTACAAAATATCTAATAAACTCAATTTATTTACCTTTAAAGTTGTCGTCTCTCAACTTTTTCTTCTCTAGTTCTTTCTTCTCTACTCCACTTGCTTCTCTTCTCTTCTCTACTTTCTTCCCCCAGTGAGGAGGATTGAAGGGATGGATAGGAATAAAAGGAGATGGGGAGGTAGAAAGAGAGGGAGAGTGAAGCATGGGGGGAAAGGAAGAAGAAATCATAAAGGAAGAAGATACAGGAGGAATTGTAGGGGGAAAATCTAAATATGTTGGGGGCAACCACGGAGAGGGAGCTGATTGCAAAGGAGCGGAAAAAAGAGGGATAGATGAAGGAGGTAAAAATGGAGAAGTAGAAGAGGAAGGTGAAGAGGAGGAAAGAATGGATGAAGAGGAAGAAGCCTGTATAGAGGGTGAAGAAGAGGATGTGGAAGTAGAAAGAGACAGAGACAAAGAAGAGGATGGAGAATGACAGGGAGGTGGACAGGAGAGAACTGAGGCAGATGGATGGTCTACAAAGGCCTGGGGCAGATTTGACAATGTTGTGATTTGTGGAACAGATTGCTGGTCTGACTGAAAAGTATCTAAACTAGCAGGATGTTCAGGCAACGGAGTGATATAAGAAAGAGTGGGGACTGGTTGATGAGGGGGATGACTGAACAAACAGGAAGGCTTCAAAACAGGGAGAGCTTCCAAAGGGGTTGGGGAAACAACCAGTCGAGCTGGAAGGGAACGACGAACAAGGGCAGGCATTAGAGTGGCTGGGGTAGAACGCTGTGCTGGAAGGAAATGTTTGGGTCTAAAAGTTTTGTAAAATAACTTGCTCTGTGAGTCAGAATCAGGAGTGATTGGAGAACTTTGGGGTGGGTGGGGTAGATGGTCAGGTGGGCCAGAAGGAACTGGGGTTGGTAGACGAGGGAGACTGCTAGAAAAGCTGGAAGTAACTGGGGCTGGAGGGCGAGGAAGATATTTGACTGGGGAGGACAGTAACGGGGCTGGTAAAAAGGTCTTTGGAAGAGCAGAGGGGACAGAGGGAGGGATAGGCAGGGTACGGGGCTGGCGGGTAGGAGAAACAGTTGGATAGCTAGGAAGAATTTGGGAATGGTGGGATAGCAATGGGGCCCGTGAAGGAGATAGCTGATCAGGTAAGTAGGGGCCAGGTGTGGAGACAGCTGGACAGGCAGGAATGGATCTGCACAGGTGGAAAAGCATTTGGACAGGCAGGTAGAAAGACAGCCTTATTAAGATGGTTGTTTAGTTTATTGGGCTGCCTCTAGGCTTTTGATTCGTATTTTTTTTGGCCTGAGGGTCCATGCATGATGTTCTTCTTTTCAACCAGTGTCCTCTCACATGGGCTGAGAAATGTACATAGCTTATTTAGGTTCCCCTTTTCTCATTCCTTGCTCTTAAAATATTTTCACCTTTCAGAAGCCTGATAGTCATACAGATAATGAATATGGTCCAGAAAATCTGGTTTGAAGTACTAGTACAAAAGTCAAATAGAGGTCAAATAAATCACTGCTCAGCTCTGGCCAGATTTCTCAGGGTAGCACGTAGTTCAGGATCAATTGTCTCACCACAAATTACATGGATATTGGAGATAGATATCTAACATCACCACCTTAAAGCATAAAAATTTAATATGGCAGGAAATATAGCTTCTTTTACTCTACATCTACCAGAAGGGTCAAGTATATTATCCTTGTGATAAGGATTTGGTTGCAACGGAAGGCCGATTACTTACATTTTTAGTATTAGTCCTTTATTAATATTCTTATATTTCATTATTTCCTAAAGCTGCTTCTACTTTCATATGGACATTTCATATGGACAAAATTCTCTGATTTTTCTTGAGGCTTAAGCAGTGAGTGCCCTCGATTTTTTCAAACATTTTTTTTCTTTTTTAGATTATCACATTACCAACATCTTGTTATTTTTATCTACCATTAATATTTTCCACATTAGAACAATCATTTATGAGTACTGATATACTTCTACTTCCTTGGAAGCTTCCCATTTCTTGGCATTATTTTATTCTTTAACACATTTTAGGCTTATACTCCACAGAAAATGTATTTTTAATGTGACAATAGCTTATCAATATTTGTAGCTTAATTATATTTTCAATAAATAGCACATATAAATATTTCTATTCGCCTAATACCTGATCTTTAATATTCCAAGATTTCATGTTTGTACAGCATTTTATAGTTTACAAAGCATTTTCACACATTATTTAATATTGTTAGTTACCTGTGGACAGAAGCTCAATTTTGGAGTAAGTGAACCATAGTGTTCTCTCTACATATTGTATACATTTGTCGTTTTCCAAATACATAACACTTATATGTGTGTACGTGTACGTATACCCAGACAGATATAGGTACCATGACATCACAGTCATAATAGTATATTGCAATAACAAATAAAAACTATGTATTCTAGTTTAGAAAGGAGGTCATTTCTCACAAAACAAAGATGACGTATGTTATTTAAGGTCCTATCACAGATTTGGTATAATGACAATAATATATTTGTTTGCTATAGAGAAATCAAAGTTATTATGACACTTTATCTCTTCTAAGACTTCAAGGAACTATACACTGTTGAACAAAAAAAGTCCATCCTTTCATTCATAGTACAAAGAGTTGTTTTTTTTTCACTGAGGAAGATTCCTCACCTCTTTGCTTGAGGAAGATTGTCCCTGAACTAACATCCCTGCCAGGCTTCCTCTATTTTGTATATGGGATGCCACCACTGCATGGCCTGATGAGCAATGTATAGGTCCGCGCTTGGGATCTGAACTTGTGAACTTCGGGCTGCTGAAGTGGAGCCTGGGAACTTAACCACTATACCACCCTGCTGGCCCCCAAAGTGCTCTTTTAATTGAAAATATCTGATAACACAAAGGATAACAACTGCTACACAGAAAAAAAACCTGAGAGTGAAGAAAGCCTGTATACAAAAACGTAAATTACTTCTATACTAAATGATTTGGAAATTTTTGTCCCTCAACTCCCCCTGGACCCTAAAAGGGATTGTATTTACAATACTATAGGCCTGAACATGCCTAAACCCAACCGAGGCTTCATTAGACAATTCATACTCATCCTTTAAGGCTTCTTTCCAACTTTAAATTTTGTACTTCTTTATCACTTTGCTAATATTTCTGTAACAGCCTTCATTACCTAGTATTACATGTGTATTATAATGTAAATATCATTATATGGTATTATAATGTAACTGCGTGGTATTATAGTTTAATGTAATGTAAACCTTCTTGGGCAAAGGGCTATGTCTCATTCATAGGTGTAAACAGTGCTAATCAATGCCCGGTACAGAATAGGTACTTAAGACACTTCACATTTTTATCCTCCTCTGCTTTTCTAGACTGCAATTCTGTTACTCATCAGTTTGACATCCATACTTAAACATGATAAGATCTATTCCATCTTAAGGGAAAAAGCCATATCTTTGCCCCACATTCCCCCTGGCTATTGTTCTATCTCTCTTTTTCTTTCACAGACAAGCTATACTTGTTATCTTTACTTTCTTGCTCTCCATTTCTTTTCAACTCTCTGCAATCTCTTTTCTGTCTCCATCCCTCCACTGAGATTGCTCTGACAAAAGTCACCTGTATGATATTTTTGTTGTGAAATATAGTGGACACATTGCTTCTGTGCTGGATATTCTCTCTGCCCCTCCAGATTCACATTCCACACTTCTCCACTTATCTCTGCTGGCAGAGACTGAATGATCCCTTGCCTTTTGATTTATGGCTAAGTTTGGAAAGCACTAGCAAGAGATGGGAGGGTGACAGAAGAAAGAGGTTTTTGATAATTATTCCTCTGGCTTCCTCTCTGCTGGGCTTGCTGTAGCAGTGGCAATGTTCCTCTACCAGGACCACAGGTCCTGTCCAGGAGCCCTCTTCTAGAGCTACAGCTCTTTTCTGTTCAGGTCTGTGGTGGTAATACTGGCTGTGTTGTCAGTTCCGGGGGTGCTTCACCATCCTTTGTTGGCTTCCCAGTTCCTCTATTAAACCACTTTTCAGTCACCCTTTTTAACTGTGCCACCTGTTTCCTGCCAGGATCCTGACTCATACAACTTTTTATGTTACTAACTCCCAAGAAGCCATTTGGTCTCTATAAGCTGGTTTTTTTCCACAAAACTCTATAATTCCTTAGTTTCCGTGATACCACCTCTCCTAGTCTTATACCAAACATGTGTTCTTATTTGCAGGCTTCTCTTTTTCCCCATTTCCTTAAATGTTGTTCTTCAGTGTTCTATCCTAGTCCTGTCATCACAGTACATATTCTCCATGGCTAATCTCATCCATTGTGTTGATTTCAAAATATTTTAAGCCTAGATCTCTCTCTCGAGCTCTAGATCCATATAAGTTCAATTACATACATTGAGATAGCCTCCTGTTTTGTTCTTTTTCAATCCATTTATGCACATTTGTTCACAATGGAATGATATGTTAAAAAAGAAAAGTTGATGTTATTATCCATCTGCTTAAAATCCTTCATTGACTTCTCTTAAACTCTCAGGATAAAGTTTATATTCCTTAGCATACAGATGCATTTACCTCTCCAATCTCATATCTAGCCAAGCTATTGGTGTTTTGCATTCTATCATTCAGCCATACTCTTACTCCTAAAACACATCATTCCTTCTTTACTCTAGGCTTTGCACATGCTCACCCCTCTGTCTGGAATACCATGTATCCACTTGTTTCATGATAAACTCTTATTTTCTTCAAAGCTTTGCTGAAGAGTCTTCTTTTCCATGAGGTCTTTCCTGAACTATAATTAAGACTGACAGGATGAATTTAATTGTTCTTAGCTCTGATCAAGGCAACTATTGGCCACAAATATTCTAAAAATGGAAGTATTTTAGTAAATAACATTATGTACAGGTAAAATATTAACATAATTTATGTCTGAATTGTAGATATCTTTATATAAATAAATATCAAATATTATCATTACTCATTTGGTACTATTCTATACTTTTTAAAGCATTATTTCCCCTCTCTCCTAGATTATACACTAGGGATTGTATTTTACAATATTATACTTCTCCATATCCCCTTGACGATGCCTGATCTAGTGCTAAGCATGTAGTAGCTTCAATAAGCATTTATAATAAATAAATGGAAAACAGAGGATGTCAGAGGTACTCTATGGTGGGTTGGTCCATCCTATTGCTTCTAGATGATTCATTTAAACTGATCTGGTGAGGAACTAGGAGACACTGCAGCTTTTTCAAGAGATCCAGGAAAGATTTTCAGTTAGGAAAAACCATTTCTATGATGAAGCTACTCCTTTTACCTAAATGTATGTCATTAAAATTCAACACAATTTTTTCCTCTTGGGAAAGATGAATAACCAATATCAATATTTTAAAATGGTTTTGATGATAGTTTCCATAGAAAATTATTCAACATAGGCAGCATTGTAATACCGAAGACAACAATTAGAATTTTGTCTTATTCTTGAAGCAATTTACATTCCACTCTACCTCAACTTAATCTGTGAAAATAAAATAGTAAACTCTAAAACCGAGGTGAGGAGTAACTAATGAAAAAACCTACAAACTCAGCAACTATAAAGCTATTTAATTATTATACATTAATAAGTACACATAATAATCATAAATTACTCACCTCCAGTTTATTGTTGATCTGTGGGAAGAGGGAAGGATTACTTCTGATTTTAAGTTAGATTCCTGAATTTGTTTGAGGGCCTCTTCTAATGGAGGAACTGGTTTTTGAAAAACTAAGGATAATAAAGAAAGATCAAATAGTACAGAATCACTTCATCTTCCATGATCTCTTTATAAATTTAATTGATCAATGATAAAATACTACTTTAAAACTTTTTAAAAAAGAAAACATTTTTTTAAAATAGTGTAAATATTTTAAATTTAGACATAAAATTCCCCAAAGAGAAATTGTTACCTCAAAATTCTCATCACCAATTTTAAGAATATTTATCTAGAAAAAAGAAACTTGATAAATGTCCAGATTCTTTATTTTGGCATGCAAAACCCACTATATTTGATCTCATACTTTCATACATTTCTGACAAAATTTATAAATATTCTTATGAGAAAAGGGGAAGATATAAAAAGACCAACTAATATTTACTGAGCTCTTACTGTTAGAGACATATTTTTAAGCACTTTTTAAGTATTAACTAATTTAATCCTCATTACAGCCTATGGGCAGATGCTATTTGAATCTCCAATTTGCAACTGAGGAAACTGAGGCACAGAGAAGGTAGGAAACTTGTTCAAGGTCATACATTATATGGACACTCATCCACTTACTACTCTGCACAACCTCTAATCCAACCCTACCTCCCAAAGGCATCCACGTTCCCAAAGTCTTTCACTTTGCTCTTTGGTACTCAACATACTCTATTTCCCCTACTTCTCTAAATATTTTTTTCACCTTCTTGTTCGAGTTGAAACACATCTGTCTTTTAAGGATATTGCTTTTCCTGTAGCCTTCATAAGTGGAGACATTATTTTCTTCCCATCACATGCTACAAATAACTGAAGGCCTGAAGGTAGGGTAGGTGACTTTAGTTCTCCATTGACACCTCTGAACTGTCTTTCCTCCTTTCTCCTTGAAAAAACCCATATGTCATCAGACTTTCCACTATTACAATGTTTGTTATTTACCTTAAAATATTTAAGCAAAACAGTATATTATGTATGGTTAGTTCAAACTGACGTCTAGAGACAGCCCGTTTCTCTAATCAAGGGGCAATGGCATAATATACTAGTGAAGAATGCACAGTTATTGGATGGTTTGCTGGATATTCTAATCATAAAGGACCAATCCTCTTGAGGCAGATACTATTAGGCTTTATATATTGATTGTCTTCCTAATTAGCATACTTAACATCTAAAACCCTCACCATTTCTTGTCTACCAAAGAGAACTTAAAACTAATTTTAAAACTAACTGAGGTCAATTTACAACCACTGCTTCTTGTTGCTGTTATCTAATGACCTCCCAGTCACTACCTCTCATTCACTGATGATAATTTAAGCCTACATTTTTTGAGTACTTACTGTGTATTAGGGCTTTATTATCTCATTTAATCCACGAGCTCCAACCTTTCCACTTCTTTTACTCTAATATTCTCACTCCAACAATTTTATGACCTCATTGAAATCCCCAATCTGTTGTCCTTCTTTGTAGCAAGGGGAAAGGTCAGCTATCATTCATACTTGGTGAACTTTTAGTTTAACTCTCACAATTTGGGAATAAACTAACAGACAAATAAATAGTTGTCTTTCACAACTTTGTTCTTGCTCTTCATCCAGAGCATTGAATTTTCTTAAAATATTAATTTAATATTTTGTATATGTAATATATTCATATTCAGAAATCAAAAAACAAATATGATACACATTTGGAAGTCTTGCTTTCACTGGTCATTTGTGCATTCTTTCACTGTTTCTTTAAGTGAATACAAACAAATATAAATATATATTCTAATTTTCCCCTTGTCTTACATAGAAGGCAGAGTATTATGCATACTGATCTGGACCTTGTTTTTACACTTAACAATATATGCTAGCAATCAGGGATATATCGAGGTTGCATGGGAGTATAAGGCCTATACAATTTGGAGGACCTTATTAAGAAAAAATAATGCAAAATTACTATTATAAAATTAGATTTAGGGGCCAAGACAGTGAGGGCTCCGGAAACTTAAACCTCATTAGCTTCATCTAAATCTGCCTGCTAGTGATCTTTCCATATCAGTCCATAGAGCGTTTCCCCAATATTGTTTTAAAGTTGTATAATATTCCATTGGGTGGATGTCTGTGTCATTTGTTTTCACGGAAACTCCTGACTTTTTCTACCTAGACTCTTGGTAGTCAGCACCCTCTTTGGGGCAAATAATACTCAGGATTGGTGACTACTTCTCCAAGGCACTCAACCCAATTGACCACATCTTCATTCTTAAAACTACCTTCTCTTTTGCTTTCTTATTCATTATTTTCTTTGTTTGCTTTTGTTTCCCCTCCTGCTTTCTTCATAACTACTTCTCAAAATCCAGTTTTACCTTTTCTTGCTCAACCTATAGTAAATACTAGTATGCCTTAAGGTTTTATTTTAGGCCTTGTCCTCAATCTGTGGTCTATATTCTGTTATTTAGCTTATCTTTCCCATGGCTTCATTTATCAACTACATATCTATTCATTATTGACTCTTAAATATATATTTCTATTTCATATCTTTTTGTTAAGTCTTAGACCCATATTTCTAGTTGCTGATTTGATTTCTCCATTTGGATGAGCCCTGGGAGGCTCAAAATAGATGCATTTAAAACCTAATAAATGATCTTTGACACCTCTAACCTAATTCTATTCCTTTATTTGTAACCTTGACTAATATCATCATCCACCAAAATAATTAATTCATTAAAAAAGTATTTATTGAGTGCTAAAAATGTGTGAGGCTCTCTGCTAAGTCCTAGGGACACTGTTCTCCTCTTAGCCTTCTTCCACCACTCTTCATCAATTAGTTACTGAATCCTATTGATTATTTCTCGTGGATATATTACCTCTTATCGCCATATCCAGTGCCATGTTTTAATTTTGCAGCTTAATACCTCTTGTCACAAAGACTGAAATAGACTCCTACCAGTTTAATTAGTTTGTTTCTACTTCAATCTATGTTCCTTGTTGTAACTATAATTATCTTTCTAACAAACAAATCTAATTACAGCAGAGACCTCTAGTTTCTTACCTAACATACATTTTTCCTTTCCTTCTTGTCAAGAGAGCCTATATTGTTGGGGTGGCAGTATAGCCACATTAAATACATTTTTTTATTTCAGTTTCCCTTGTACATGGAGTTGGCAATTAGATATAAGCAGATAGATGGGTGCCTCTAGGAAAACAATTTAAAGGGAGCTCAAAGGTATACCCTTTTGTCCTTTACATTTCTTCCTTCTTCCTGCCTACAACACTGACATGATCATTGGAGCTCCACCAGCTACCATATGACCATGAGAGTGAGGAAACAAATGACATGCTAAGGATGGTTGAGCTGAGAGGAGAAGGAGTCTGGGTTCCCAGTCACATTGCATAATTATCAAACCAGCTTTTGACTCCCTAAATCTGGACTCTCATATGAGAGAAAAATAAACTCTTATCATGTTTAAGCTATTGTTATTTTTAGCAGTGTTACTAGCTGCCCTTACTTACAGTAAGATCTCTTAATAACACAGTAATGGCTTGCTTTCCAGTTAAAAAACTTTAAGTACCGCATTTTGGATAAAGACGAAATTCCTAGCATGTCATATAAAGCTCCTTGAGGATTTGTTCCAACTTATTTTTCTAGTCTTATGTCAATTTTTCTTCTATTTTTCCCATGATATGCTTTGGATACACTGAATACAGAATTTGTTTGCAAAAGCTGTTCTGGAATTCTTTTTTTTTTATGAGGAAGATTGACCCTGAGCTAACATCTGTTGCCAATCTTCCTCTTTTTGCTTGAGAAAGACTGGCCCTGAGCTAACATCTGTGCCCATCTTCCTCTACTTTATATGTGGGATGGCTGCCACAGCATGGCTTGCCAAGTGCTGTGTAGGTCCACACCTGGGATCCAAACTGGCGAACCCCAGGCCACCAAAGTGGAACGTGTGAACTTAACCACTGTGCCACCTGGCTGGCCCTTCAATCTTCTATTATGTATGTGGAATGCTTGTCATGCCACAGCCTGGCCAAACCCTGTCATGCCAAACCCTGGGCCGCTGAAGCAGAGGGTGCAAACTTAACCACTATACCAGCAGGCCGGCCTCCTGGAATGTTTTTAAATTTTCTCTTTGCATCTCAAAATGCTCATTCTTTAAGATTCAAATTAAGTCATTTTTCCAGAGATGATGTCCCTGTATAGGTTTACTCTTCTTTCCTATGTGCTCTCACAGTACTTTACACATTCTGCTACCATAGCAATTATCATTATATTTATTGACATTAATTGTTTATATTACTCTCATCTCCAAAATAAGATCTTTTTTGTGAGATGTTTAATTGTAGAGCATAATTAGATTTTTCTGTATCTCAGCTTAACCCAGGGCTAAGTACTACATAGTACAATATATGTTAGCTTAATACATAAAAGTTCTGCCTCTCCTTTTTCTTTCTGAAGCTTTGATGTTTTGTTGTTAATTCTGTGTTACTCTTTATGGTTTAAAAATCAAAGATGTGATGCCAAAGAATTGACCACAATCATATTTAAATTCTTAGTTAGTTCCAGGTCTTAGATTGTTGGATTATATCACTCTGTAGACTTTCTTTTTATTTTGCCAGTCTCTCAAATATGAAATCAAAATGTGAATAAAATGCCATAATGAATGTGACACTGATTTAAGGAAACTAAATGTTAAATTTTCTTTTTATTAAGATACTTACTAAATCATTTTACAAATATAAAACATTGTAAGGCATATGAAACAGAATCAAACTTGTGAGCATTCAGAATTTACTAATAGAGTCAACAAAATATTCTCCAAATTAAACCTAAATCAAATTACAGTTTTTCATTTGGCTAAAGTCCTCTGACTCAAAAGGCATATTGGCCTTTTTAGTTTGAATTTCCATTTTGTTTCTTAATTTATCATTTTATTGTCTACTCAAGTTGAATGTGAGTATAACTTTCATTTTTGTTCTCATATTGTTGAAATTAAGGCACCTGCTCTCCTTCGCTGTGAAAGAGGAATATGGGCACGTTGGAATTTTTCAGTAAC